ATAGGAGACTTTCTTTCGCAAATGTGCTTGTGCTTATGGTATTCAAGGTTTCCTTTCTAATTAATTTGATTGTTTGTTTGTTGTATCGACGCTAACGCCATCAATTAACTTACACCGCGGCATCTTGCAAACGAATTGCTTTACAGAGTAGCAGCCAGTATCACCCCACTCTCCAGCTGAATACATCTCAACGCATGGCTGTTGTCCGTGATGGCTGTTTGGCTGTTGAGGATTCCATCGCGTGAACCCAACTGGGCTCTTGTCACTCCATCCATAACCTTTAAACATAGATAGGATAACCACATTGGCACAGGTAGTTAGTGCACGGCGTTCTGTTCGAGAGTTTGCCGAGTTCTCAGTTCTTGATCCCACTTTTTGCCCTTTGCGTATAGCTATTATGTAGCTTTTTATAAATACCCATGACGCGGAGCGAGGGGGTGAAATGAGCTTAAAATCGGTCTTTACTATCTTAACCAGAAGATAACTATCATGAGAACATAAAAGGACCGGTGCTTCTATATTCCATCGTGACTATCAAGCTACTGCGTAAAGTAAGGGATTTAATATCCAAAACATCACAACTTCCCCAGTCAAATCCATTAAGGCTGGAACGACCACCTTCAACAATGCCGTAAATCAATAGAGAATCCCACCCTGTTAAGAAAAGGTGACTGTTTTCAGGTGCAGAGAAACAGAAAACTTGTGTTTTTTTTAATAATCTGGAATTTCTCGTCAGTTGTGTATGTATTCATTCGAAACATTCACAAATAACTTGCCCAAATTGTGCTGATTGGAACGAAAAACTATCCAAAAAAGTTCCAAAGGCTAGAGAAAAAATTTCACTGTGTCCGTGCTCAATGCGCTTTTAACCGTTAGCTGCCAGCCGAAATCAAATCGAGGGATCAACATCTAAGGCTAAGAGACGTGCTATCAGTGGTACAACAACCAAATAAATTGGCAAAATTTCCTGTCTTTGCCCATACCGCAAAAAAGTCCTAAATACAATGGGCAATTTCAAATCAGGGGCACCCAACGAGAATATAGTTCAAACCACATAAACATAGCATTGTTAGTATTTAAACGGTAGATAAAGGCTTATTTTTATCCCCTAAAAATTTTTCATCTGTTCGGATTTCCTAGCTGAAAGTATAGTGATCCGAAAATTATAGGGATCAAAATTTACCTTTTCGAAAATTTCAGCCAGAAAAAAGGCTGCCGAAAATTCTAGGTGACCTTTTTAGGGTAAAAATCCGTTAAAAATGGGCAATTATGCCACTTTTTTGATGTTCGAAAATCCTAGGAGAGGCAGGCAAGCAAGAAATTATACAGAAAATGATCCGAAAATTCTAGATCTCAAATCGTCTTCCGAACAGATCATTTTCCGAAAATTGTCGTTGGGTGCCCCTGTCAAGGGTCAAGCTCTTGCCTAAGTCGCTGTCTTCTGGCACCGACAAAAACACATCCCCTCCAACGCAAATACTTTCGCGAACATCTTTGTAGTTTAATAGCTTTTCCCGTAAACCATTTGATAGAAAACATTGCACTCGGCTTTGCATTTGAATACAGGCGATATGGAGGAGACATTTAAGACGAAATAATCGAATTAATACAACCCGCATGCTGTTGAAAATTAAAGAACTACTGCATTCATCGTCTTAATTTGAATTTGGATCAAAACAGCTAAAGTCACGTTTCAGGCGGTTGATTAACGGCGCATCAGTAAAGACCGTTAGTGATTGAATAAAACCCATAGGAGGAAAATTCCTCCAGCAAATTTAGTGCGCCGCAGAGGATAAAAGTCCTTCGCGCTGGGGACTACTACCGGAAGTGGAAACGAGAAGTGAAGGACTTTGAGAAAGTCTAACCTTAACGTCGTCTTAGGTCGACATTAACGTTTAATCGTATTAAAAGTCTGATGACATTATTAACGTCTTCTACTGAGTGCGTCATTCGAACACACTTAACAGACGACTTAAAAACGTATCAGGCGTTAAACGCGTCTAATATAAAAACGGGACGTATTAATTTATCGCCAACTCGTCCAGGAATGACTGGGAAGAGTCCGTGTTTTGTCTCTTTTTTTATTATTATTATTACTTTTTTTTCCGTTTTTAATAGGTTGTAACTAGAACGGATACCTAAAAATCAGGTTGGGCACCTTATGTTTATTACACAACGCTATACTCTATACCACGGTATAATATATATTTATGCGAATGTATCGAGCACATTTTTTCAGAAAAGTGGGGAAATCAGAGTAAGAGACAGTCGTGCACGCAAAAGAGATTAATTCAGGGTTTAGCACCGAAGTACAATGATTATGGTTAAGGACTGTTTTAAAAACGGTTAGCTTTCAATAATGTAATGGTCAATGCCATGTAAGGTACGTTAAAATTAACCGGTGTCAGCAGTTAGCCCTTGATGGTGTACATGTAGTGGATACGTGAAGTTGAAACGGACGTGCACTAGACATCAAATGGTGCGGGTTCAAGTCCTACATGCTACCTACTGTTTTATTTCTTCTCTTATTTACTACTTTAAGTTATAAGACTCCTATCACGCATTTTGATTGAAGATGACAATCTGACTGTGGGGTACCATTCTAGTCAGTCAACTTTGACGCCTCAGACGTTAAATGCGTCTTGACGACTTTTAACGCCTCTAGAACAAGAACGGCGATTGGGACCACAATACATACCAAGCCCTTTTCAGAAGCCTACGTATGTAGCTTGTAAGCTTTGTCTTGTGGGAAGAGACCCGGCCAAAAGTACCCATGGAATAAGAACAGAAGAGTGGGGATGACGGAGTACAGTTGATATTCCTTTACCGACAAATCACTTCCGCCCGGTTATTTCTCGTAGACATATATAAAGAACTCACCAAAGAGTATGCCGCGGTCACTTAATCCAATCCAGAATGAAAAGGCTGAATTGTTTAACAGATTGGCGACAAATGTATTTTCGGTGAGACTGTGTATGCTAACCAGGTCAGAATTTTGACTAAAACCTCTGCAGACATCTCTGGCGGCGGTCCACGTCTTACTGTACGACAAATAATAATAATATATTAATATATAAACTTAAGCCAAGGAGAAGCTCTCGTTAATATAATTATTTATAATTTACTTCAATCAAATATCCTTATAACCATTAGAAAGAGATCCAACTAAAATCGGGCCTGCGAGCAATTGAAAACTTCTAACTTGTCAGCAAAGAACTAAAAAAAAAAACTCGCAACCTCGATGGGTCTACACCTCAGCCCAAAATGCGGTCATGTGATACTGGTTAGCGAATACCCTGTTTTGACAGCTGTCAACAACATGGATATGCCATAACAGGTTGCATGCTCCCACACTGCATAAAAAAGTTTTCACATTGGTTCCCTTTGGTGCAGACAGATGAACGGTCGAAAGTATGGTCACGCGGTTACCAAAATTTCTCGGATGGATAGATTGCCAAATTTCTTTGCTTTGGAGCTCCGATGAATGCAGTGGGGCTTCCGTTCAGTGGAGTGTCTCGTAAGCACATAATAGTGTCCCCTGAAAAGAGGTGTCTCAAGTGCTAATGGGAAGATTAATATACAGTGTAGCCTCCATTCAGGGACACCTTCAGGAACATGAAGGAACATGTTATCCCCCTCAAGTGTTCCTTGAATAAGGGTGTCAACTTTCATACAAAAAAATAAATAAATAACCGAATGATCAGTCTAATTACTTTTTAAAGTCCATTACTGCGCTTTTCAGAAACATGCGAATTCTGAAGTTCAAAAAGCCAACTGACGATTGCGTTTTTGGCTGCCGTCAATCATCTTATCATCTTAACGGACCTCTTAGGACACAAAACTTTACTTTAACAGGTTCAAAAGGTCATGGTTTGTGATTTGTGATTGGTGGATTTCGATCCGTTTTGTGTGTTTCTTTGTTTCAAGGTTCGTTGTTTGTGATCGTAATTATGATTGACGGCAGCGAAAAACGCTATTGTGAAGGCGTCTTTTGAACTTTAGAGTTCGCATGTTTGTGAAAGGTGCAGCAAGTGGTAGCTGAAAAAGCCTTCATCGCGCGTTGAGAAAAAATAAAATAAAATAAAACAAAAACAAACATAAAACAAAAAAAAAAAAAAAGAAAGACAAAAATAACCAACTTCTCACAGGGCACAAGTTTTGAATCTTAAGATTAAAAGAAAAATAGGTCATATGCTACCAGATAAAATTTCATGTGTCAAACTCTTATTGAAGCAGAAAGGTGAAATTCGTCGGGAACTGATTCAATCAGAGTCCAGCGGTTAGGCCATTCTTCATTCTTGGCTGCAATGATTCAGTTCACCAGTGAACATTCTGTTGGCTGTTTCTTGGTTCTCGGCAAAGGTAGCGAAATCCTATACCATAGACCCCTCCACGGTTTATTCAACTTTTTACATGGATCAGTTAGGAAAAATCCATCAAAACCATTGGAAAGAGCGCCGTAAAATCAGTAAAATTGCCAAATTTAAAAGTGATACGAATTAAGCGAGCAAAGATATAGTTCCACATAGCTGCGAACATTTTACACAGCCGTTTCCAGGGACTGTAAAATTTCGCGACTTTGAGGAGATATATCTTTCAAACTTGGCAAGTTTACTAATTTTATGGCGCTCTTTCCAGTGTTATCGACGGATTTTCCCCTAACTTATCCATGTCAAAAGTTGAAAAAAAAATATAATAAAATAAATAAATAAAAACGTAGAGGGGTCTCTTTCATACTGTCAACGACAAAGACAGGGTCTGGAAGACTAAACTCTGATGTTCCCAATCCATCAAGAGGTCAGGGAGAGAACGTCAACTTCGAATTTACGCTTTGCATGAAAAAAATTAATGAATAAATGAATAAATTAAAAAAAAAACCCTTTAACAGCTGTTTCCTTTCTAGCGAAGTATACGTAAATAGCTCTGCACTAAAAAAATCCTTACCTCTGTGTAATCATTTTATAGCATGCTGGCCCATTCAGCATCCATCCAGAGGGACATTGAGTATTTGCACCTGGTGAACATAAAGTTGTAATGTACAGTTCCAGAAAATATCCATAACCCCTTTTGCTTTATCCCCCTTACCCTTACCCCCCCCCCCCGGAGTTTCTGTGATTTTTTCTCTCTTAGTTGAGTTCTGCCCTCGTTCCTCGCGGCTTCGCCACTTGTCCCTCACATGTGCTTTCGATCTCGATGACTCAATAAATAAATAAATAATTATAAATAAATGATTATGGGGCTGCTCGCAGTCTAAACAGCTGTTAGGTTTGACCAACACTAATCTTACTTGGAGAACCTGAAAAAACAAAACAAAAACAAAAAATTTCGAAAAGCCACCTCTCACTCCCTCGGCAATTGCCTCTCTTTAGACCTCTCTAACGCGCTCAGAATTTAGTTGTCTTCCGTGAGGAGGATATGGGTATTTTTTGGAACTACACAATCTTCGCTTTGACATCGCTTTTGCAGAAAAAAAATAATGTTTTTACGAAAGGAGTATAGTTTAGGCTTATTTAAGAGCATGCTTAGGCAGGGTAAACTATGAACTATAAAGGGTAGATATCATGGAGAGGATAAACATGGAAAACAAACGGAAAACTTAAACTTGCGAAAATAAGAAAATAAATAAAGACGCAGAAACTGTAGCCGCCTTCACTCAACAGCTCCTGTATCAGAGCGACGGTTCAGGGTGTGAGTAAGGAGTAAGGCGCTTACCTGTTGTAGAGGGGACTGTTGGTTGCTGGGTGTGAGCTTTAAAAACAATTTTGACCAATTTAACAGTTAGTTTTGAATAGGTACTCACATGCAATGATGCTATTGTTAACAAATTAAACATAGATTTTACATGAAAACTGAGTACGATATGCTGCAATTTATACTAGCTTGTATCAGAGTCGCTCACAATCTCTCAACATGGGAAAGTTAACAGCATGCGTTGACAACATGCTGAGTGAAACAGATCGTCAGATCGTCAGGTCGTCTCCAATCTCTGCTAATATTTTCAAACCTAAATCAGTTTCCACCCAGCGTTCCTCTCAAGTATGTCCAGATCATCAACTATACAATACAGTACAGTACAGTACAGACGAGCAGAGTACAGTAGAGTACAATACAGTACATGCAGTACAATACAATATAATACAAAATAGAACAACACAATACAATCCAATGCAATACAATACAACACAATACAGGTTTATTTAAAGATGGAAACGTAATAACCTTTTTACAGTTTTCTAACCAAGGACCCTCTAAAAAAATAAATTGGACGAATAATATACAAAAATATGTACAAAAAGAACAAAATTGATATACAAAAATGCAATAGGTATATAATAATATACGTTACAATAACAAAATAAATAAATAAATGAATAAACAAAGAACAATGCATGAATATTTTACATGTGGCGGATACGAGAAAAGAGTGCAAATATACAGTGCAGTCGACTGACTATTAAACATCTGAAGAAGATAGTCAAATTTCTATAATAAGATAGTTTACATAGTTCACCAAAACGCGTACCAAAAACATATAAGTTACTCACAAGAGTACTTAGCACACGCATAAGGAAGAGTCACAGTGCAATCCTCATCCTCCCAGAACAGCCAGCTCATTTTTCCATGCTGCAGGCTCGCTCGAACACAGCTTTTTTTCCTCGCGTCTGGTTGACCATTAAACCAACTGGTGTAATCGACGGTGGAATTATCTGTCCAGTGGTACACTCCTTTCTGATCGACATCTGCTAATCCAATCCATATTCCTCCAACATCCCCTATGTCCCAGGAGTTGACCAGCAACGAAGTCAGGAAAATATTTTCAGTGCTATAAAATTGATTTTCGTACATCAATGGGTTTGATTTGCATGTATTTTAAGAGGGGGGTAACGTTTATATGGAATAAATGGCGTACAAGCTTCGTATATTGCTAAATTGAGGAGAACGAGAGGTGGAGTGGTGAACGAACCCCAACCCCTCCCCACAAACTTTGCCCTTTGCCGGGCAACGCCATTTGAGGGAGGAGTTTGTTGCAGGTTTTGGCACTCCGGTTTGGCCCACCAATCCCAACCCCCCCCCCCCTTCCCACCCCTACCCACCACCACCACCTCTTTCTTATTTATCAGACAAAAATTGGGCATTATGAACGGCCGATTACATTCCATTTACCAGCTGACGATTCAAGCAGTTGCACCAAGTGTAAAATAGTCCTACTTAACAGCCTCGTCACTGCCAGTTTACTATTATCGGTTTGCATGGGCGCATTTTGAAAAGACGGAGTATTTAACAATAACTCCATATTCAATGAGTCATACCTGCTGTGGAAGCTAGCTAATTCAGCACTAGCATTTCTGCACTTGCTTCTAGCGTCCTTCCAGCTTTTACGATCAAACATTAAACGAAAACAGCGGGAACCATCAGGGCTCTGCTCCCACCCAAAGGCACAACCGGACGATTTTTCTACACCTAGAAAGACAAAAAATCTGTGTGGTAGCGAACCGCTTCTCACAAGCTTACCAACTAGAATAGTTACAAATACACGAATAGGCTGACAAAAAGTCACACACTGTAAGGGGTAGGTACAAAAAAGGCAAACAATTATACAACTAATAACAGCAAGTAGCCTTTGTGCAGATAGGAGACAGCGTGTGCAAAAATGTGTGTGCATGACATTACCGTAATGTGTTCACACAGACCAAAAAATTCGCTTTTATATCAATTAAACAGCTACATGATGGACAAAATGATATATGGGTGCAACAGTTTAACCCTCAACAAACAGTTGATGTATTCATCATAAAGGTGCTATATATTTTAAGTTCCCTTTTGGACACGGGGCCAGGTGCTAAGTAAAGACACTATTTGATGTTCCCTTTGGGACACGGGGCAAAGTGCTATATAAAGACACTATTTTATGTTCCCTTTGGCACACGGGGCAAGATGCTATATAAAGACACTACTTTATGTTCCCCTTTGGGATGCGGAACCATAGTTTTATGGTCTAGCCGTTTGTAGGACCAAAGGCAGTACATTCATTTTTCATTGATTCCAAGACCCTGAGTAGAGGTCCGGTCCCAGGAATCAAACCCCACGAACTCCCGCTTTGCAGTCACTAAAGCGCTATTTCCACTGAGTTAGTCCTTCCGTGCAAACGAAATGGTATTTTTGGAGACAAATATGGCGGTATCAAGAAAGCATGGTGGCTGGATGATGTGTTGTTCGGGTAATGTTGGGAATCTTTTAACACGACTATGGTAAATGGAAAAAAGTGCATGTTTGGTCTTATCGCTATGGGCAGTGTTGCTCAAAGCCAAAAAGAATCGAATGTTGCGGGGAGATTGCAATTTCTAAAAGAAATCTTAAATCAAAGGTTTGAAACGATATGGTTAATCTCAGTCTTGTTTCCAATCTATCACTTACCTTTTCTGCAAACGTAGTCTATCTCTAGATACTTTGAAACTCCTTTACACGGTTCAGAACCAAATGAACCCAAGGCCCTCAAAGAACAATGATTAGTGCGATCACATTTTGCCTTTATGTTTGAAGTTACATTAAGTCGGCAGTTATTCACGCTCACAAAACCACACTGGTTAACATCGGTACGCCCCCAGATGGCAGATGTGATGGTTAGAACGGTTGATAAAGGGCAACTAAGCACAGCTGAAGTATACTGACAGACAAACTTCTTCTGGGGAGCTGGCACAAGAGGAATAAAATATCATTGTTACACTAATACATGTAATAATTGTTATCATTATTTTTCCCGCTAGTATTGATTTGAAGTTTGCTTTCACATGGCACCGGACGAATTTTCGTCGGGTGAAAAAAAAAAAAAAAATAGTGCTTTTTACCGTTAGGTGATCCGTTCAAAAATTTGAACTCGAAAATCGACGTCTGATTTATTTAACCAGTACGATCGGAAATTTGACCGGACTGAGTGAATACTATAACCGTCAACATTTGTTTTTCTACATTTTTTTTCGCGCTGAAGTTTCAAAGAACGCGAAGTCACTTTTTACGCGACGTTTTCTCCGCGTCGCCGTCGTGATGCCTTAAACTCGCTAAAAAGCTTCCTTACCAGGTGTTGGCGTCGGTCCTAATATGGGAAAGTATTCTGAAAGAAAATAATAATAATAATAAAGAAATCAGTATGATACAAGTCCCTTATTCATGTTTTTAAACGATGTGAGAGCCAACATGTCCCCGTAACATCAGTTGCCAGCAAAGACGTTTTGAAGCGACGGCCGTCAACCGCAAGAGAGGCCTTTTGAATTTTAAAAGTTCTTAAGGCTACTAAATTAATTTTTCTTCCTGAGTGTCTTTACTCTTCAAAAACGTCGTTGCTTAAGCGGACCTTCGGGCGAGGCGGAGCCCCATTACTATAGAAATTAAAATATGTGTTTCTTCCATTTGTTTGATAACCTTTTGATTTCTTGCAAATATATGGTCGATTGGTACGGCAGTTCTCATCATTCCAGCGTCCATCATTATCACTTCTCACATTGACACAGTCCTCTGAGTTGGCCCAGTTGTCAGGATTCCAATCTTTCCAGTAAGTGTACTGAACAGCAGATCCATCTGACCACTCAAACTCACTCTCAACTCCCCGATCATGTAGACCTGTATAAGATACGAACAGAGAGCTTAAGAAACGACGACGCTGAAGGCAACAAGGAGGAAAAAAAAAAGGTTGTCAATAGAAAAACGAAAACCCTGCATGTCATGTGCTTAGCCGTCATTGCACGACTACGACGGGATACTTTCCGATTTCACGCTTTATGGAGAACAAGTCAACGAATTTCTTGTTCTTTTTCCGAACTTAGATACGTTCATTTAGAATTTAACTCCCGAAAAAATCGCGACATTTAACAATTTGAATTAAATGGAATAAGAGTGAAGAATTTTGAAGCAGCGCAAATTCACTTACTTTAAAGTGACGTTTTCGTTTTCGTCGACGTTGCTGTCGTGGTTACTCATGGTCAACCTGTTTTTAAGGTTCCAAATATTTTCGCTGAATATTCCGACCATAATTGTTGTTTTTGGCTATGAGATGATCATGAAGAATTATGCAGATCCAAGAGAATGTTATGACACCCTCCTCGAAATGCATAATTGTTCCTATCATACTTAGCCTCATCCAATAATTATCGCTAAGTAATAACTCGTGTAGCAAGTAGTTAATATGCAAAGATTAATAGCAAATCTATAATTTTGAAGCAGGGTTATACGGCAGGGTTACAAGCTCTGTACAAGTTTGAAAATGTAGGAGAACCTCTAAGAAGAGAGGTGTTCACAATCGCGCATAGAAAAAAAAATACGTCGCCAGGTTTCACGGATATGGATGTACCAAGCGTTACAGCACCCACAACAAAATTTGTATACTACGCATTAACGGAGTACTCTAGCAACGAAAGTTTTCAACACACAATAATTGGAATGATTGATGTGTCTGGCTTCCTTGTTAAAGAGAAAGCAATAAACATTCCACGGATGTATTACCAATCCATGCATGTTCTTGTAATCCATAAGGTCCCACTTCCAAGGTTATGTGTGCCTGCTCTACTGGGGAGTGAATGCTGGCCAGCTGTGCCTGCTGATTCATACAGGCCACTCGGGCATCTGACCAGGATTTCTTGTTCAAGTTAAACTGATAACAGTACCGTCCAAAGTCTTTCCAACCAGTTCGACATCTACCATACTCTATTGAATGGAAGCAATTATAAATGTGAATGGGTTGAATACACTTGCTTATTGTTAGTTCTTAGGGTTTTTCTCCGAGTGGTCTGATTTTCCCAGGCTGTCCTCAAAAAATCCACACTACAAACAAATTTGATCTGGGACACACGGCTAATACTTCGTGCAAAAAACAACAGCTACGAATGTCTTTGAAAAGGGCACTGCTATGGACGTCCTGCATTTCGGCCTATATCTTAAAACATTGCATTCGTCTTTCCATATACCTAGACAAATAAACTTACCAGCTAAATAGATCCCTTTAACTTCTTGGCTAGACAATGCTCTTTTCCACACTGCTAATGAACGCATATAATACTCGCCAGCTGAAGTCTGGTTTGACTTGCTTCCTATAGTCAATGTGGTACTTGCACTGCTATCCTGAAGGGTGGTAGTTCCGTATTGATTTGAGGTGCTAAACAACAAAAGTACCATGGAATTAGGCAAGTCACCCTAAATAAGGTAATCGGGATTCCGAAATCCAGGACATTTTTGCTTGTGGAATGCGAAATCCAGGGAAACTTTTGCTTGTGGAATTTGGAATTCAAAGCTTTGGGATTAAGAATTTGACACCAGGAATCCAGAATCTCGCTAACGATTGCAATCTGGAATCCAGAATCCAAGACTGTATTGCATTGTACGTTAGATGGGGAAAATTCAAGAGAAAAGAATGGTCGAAGCAAACCCAGAGCAAATGATGAACGATCAATGTAAGGGAGAGCAAGGTAAACGTCGTGCCTTGTTTTATACCTGGCGCCGCAAGCAGGCAGGATGAAGCGAATCATGTGCTCCGACTGGCTATCCGAGGGACAAATTTCGCCTATCTTAACCACTCGGGATTTCAAGCGAGCGTTGTTTATGCCATGTGATCAATCAAGGCTATAGCCGCCCACGCAGACGTTCTTTTGGCTCGTCACACAATCTTCCCCAAGCAACGCAGGCTATCCCGGCTACGGTCATTGCACTGAATTTTGTCGACAAGTGACGTCTACGGCCTTTCTAGCTGTTTTTTTTTTTTTTTTTTTTTTTTTTGTAGCTTTTGCTATTATCATTATCGTTATTTAACGTTGGTTTGTTTGTTTGTTTGTTTGCTTTTAAGGGGCTATATCATGGGTAGTTTTCGCCCTTGTTATATAAAGCAAAAGCAACGCACTTAAAAAGTTATAACACAGTCGAAGAGTAATTCAAAACAAAACTAGAAGTGAGTTTTGTTTTTGACGCTTGTTTCTTTGTTTGTTTGTTTGTTTTCTCTCGCTCTCTTGACACAACTTTGCAGTCCATTTTTAACTTTCTCATCGAAAGTACAAGGAACTCACTTACAAATATTCACGATCGCATTCCTATCAACTCACTTATAGTTAATTTAAAAGAGTCAAGGGTACTAAACTGAACCGTTATCACTTTCGTTTTACGAGGAAAACGTCACGGTATTAAAATGCATCACAGAAAGCCTCTGTCCACAAGTATACAATACATAGGTACCTGAGACTGCCATTTAAGTACAACTGAAGTCCTTTCTCTAGTTGCCACGTGAACACCACATGCTGCCAGGCCAAAGCACCAGTAATTAGTGTATGGTCAACAGTCCACTCTCTCACCCGTGTTAAGACCTTTACATGAAGGCGACCATTAACCACGTACACTGCGAATCCACGGTTGCCTTGCTGGAAAGTTTCATCTCCAATTGTGTCCACGATAAAAGTATTTCTAGCCCATTGCTTTGTGGCATCTTCAAACCGCACAACAAAGGAAACTGTGATACCATTACTACATTGGGTTGGATCGGTAACACAAAGAACTGGAAGGGATCTAGCATCTAGATAAGACTGATAGCTTCGGAACTCGAGAGTATCCCAGCCATTTTGAGGATGATCTGATTTTATTACAATACCATGTGCAGTAGCTGGCAACGTGCCAAGCGCCATTCCATCGACGATCGCATCCATTGGCCAGTAGTAATCAGTTCCACTAATCCAGTCTGTGATAGAGAATAGAGATAGCCATGGTTACCAGATACTAGGGTCCTTAATCTAAAGCCCAGTGTTCTTGTTTGCTATGTTGGTACCCGGGTATGCAAGGTATTAGCCAGGATAGATAGGACTGCCATTGAAACCTATAGAAATACAGTTTGCCGCGACAATTTTGACTTAATAAAGACTATTCGTGAAATACAACCATAACCAACATCTGACCATACACTCTCTGTCATCACATAGGTTTAAGTGATTAAACATTTGTAAACATTAACCCATGACATTCTTCGCAAATTTGAAATTGATGCTACTTACTTCCTGTCACTGGGAATTTGACATCATTTGTAGGAGCTGATGATTATAGAGAATAAAAAAGTAACATAAGATAAATGTTTACGTTAAGAACAAAAATAGTCAACGAAAACTGTCTAATAAACGCCCGTAATTTCTTGGGAGAAGGAGGGGAGGGATGTACAGCTAAAACCAGTAGTTGCCAATAGACGCAATCGTGGTCTTACATTTTATAATAAGCAACAAAAGTTTTGAGCGTGTAATGGTATTAATTTTATTATTAACATTCCCTTTCTTTTTCTTTCTTTTCTTCATTTTGTTGTAGTTGTTGTTGTTGTTGTTGTTTTTTTTTTTTATTAGGATAGTTAGTTAGTTAGTTACATTGTTTGATCGGTCGATTATTTATATTTTATATGCATTTACCACATTGTCCAATGCAATATAATTGCGGTCACATTCTCTAACGAGAGAAAGGATCAGTACAGATGAAGGGAAAGTACCCACCCATTTTTCTTTTGCAGATAAATGGCCTGTATTCCCCACAACTGACATCTCTCCAAGCTCCCCTGGTGGCATCAATCTCTACACATGCCCTTAGATCTACCAAAGGAACAAATCAACTAGTTGTTAATTTTTATGGTTGTAGGACTGGGTGGAGTCCAATTTGGTCTGTAATCAAAAGAGTGATTAACAAAATTGGGCGACTAAGTAACAGGAGTCCGAGTATAATATCAAACCAATTAGTAGATGACACGAAGTTCTGTTACTAATAAATCATCACTATAATAAATTAATTTCTACAAATAAATGAATAAATAGATAAGTAAACAATGTAATAGTCTTTTTTTTTAAAAAACATCAATACAAGAGCCTTCAAATACCAGAATGTAGAAGAGTAGCGTTGTTTTCAATTTCTCTTTCCTTTCTTTTTTTTCTTTCTTTTTTTGTTTTTTAAAGAGTTGTTAGCGATAAGGTATCTCGTTCTATACTTCAGTTCCGATAATGGTTAACGAACTGAATTGAACTTCTGAAGATTGTGTGCTAAGGTCATTCACAACAGATGAACATGTATTGAAGGGTGCTATTGGAAATATTTTGCAATATATTTTGATTGATACTACGATCATTTCTATATCTGATATCAAACATCACAGCCAAGTGTTTTTGGCTTCTTCATGTAACCCTATCCGGGGGAGCCTCCACATGCCTACACCTAACTAACAGTAGTAAGTTTACGCAACAGGACGGTAGAAAGAAGAGGACGGCAAAACGCTTGTGCGCGAGACACGTGACAGGCCTATTACTTGTGTGTTTTGTGGTGATCTTCTTAATGTTTTCTGGTCTTTTATAAAAAGACCTGAGTAAAGGTCAGGGTGAAGTTAAACGGAAAAGTTTTTCAAACAAAATTATGGTCACGTTTGTCACACAAGGTTTTCAGTCTTCTTCCCTCTCCCGTCCTGTTGGCTAAGGTCACTAGAAATAACAAGGAGACGTAAGTGACTCACTTTGTGACGTGTAGTCCTTCGGGTAACCACCGTCCCACGCCGTCAATCTGACTGGACTTCCATCACTCCAGTAAAAGTGTTTATGCATATCTCGATCGTTGAGTCCAATCCAGAAGGAGTACGCCCAACCACTAAGAGCTTTCAATCGATTATTTAACCAGTTCTTTTCTCTGACGCTGAGTATGCTTACAAGATCTCCACCTCGGTTTAGACAGGTAGCTCTTGCGTCTGAAACGCATGCATACCTCGCACATTACTCGTTTGAGACAGTCTTTTTTTGAGTCATCAAAAACCCCAAACACTTCACAGACTTTGTTGCGAAAAATATTCAAGGAAAAAAATTCTGCTGTCAATTCGTATAAAAAAACTAGGTTATTTAATGCTCCTACGCGATTTTTCTGGTAATAATAAGGTAAACGTATTAAGAACAAAATTCTTGAAAATTTAGAGGGTCATAATGGGTTTTGCCGTCAAATGACCGATAAGACGTATCTTTAACCTAACATAATGGGTTAGAGAGTTAAGGAGATGTGTGATACCAGCCTTGACATTGATCCTCTCACAGTTTGAAATCAATTTTACAGAGAATACAAAAACAATGGTTTTTGTTTTTTGGTTATTTTCGTTTCTCTGATTGCTTACTTTATTTATTTGTTTTTGTTTTTGTTTGTAGTTTATTGTTTGTTTGTTTGTTTGTTTATTTTTTATTTGCATGTTTCTTTGTTCGCAATTTAAAACATTACAAACCTGCCCATAGCTTTCTCTGATCTGAATTTATTTGGTAGCAAGTACTATCAAGTCCTACTTCCCAACCAACGCCACACTTCTTGGAAGACGCTTCAGAAAAAAAAAAAAAAAAAAAAAAGAAAAGATATATAAATAAATATAACAAAGGTACAGATTAGTAAGATTAGGTAAGGATTGGTCATCAGGTGGAATGTTCCGACAAACAAAACAAAAACATAAACGCAGAGAAGAAGTACACCTTTCGATGGAGAAGCACACTTTTAAATGAAGAGTTGTTATATATGAAAAAAAAAAATAATAACGCCTTCATTTAGTAAATTGAATTAAAAGTTAAAATAGAGACACTAAGATCACGCATCTCTCTTTCTCTAAGCTAAGCAACGGGTCGTCTTGACAAAAAACAATCCCCGATTTACTAACGGCCCTCAAATTCCCCAACCACCCTCCAAATAATAAAGAAATAAACGAATAAAAAATAAATAAACTAGAAATACGTTATTACAAAAATAACGCGAAGCTAAAAAGGGTCAACAGTAAGAATAAACAGAAAGAAATACGATGAAAGAAAAAACGGAAAAAAAATAACCGAAGAAGCTTCTGCCATTCACACTGTTTGAATCTTGTGGAGTTGTATTTATCATGAATTCAAAGATATACTTGAGGAAAAATAGCTCAAACGAGTATTTCAAAACCGTTTCGCATTCTTTCCGCGTTTATTCACGGCTTGGACTTCTCACACAGTGCGCTCGATGAACGCACTGGTCGTCTTCTTCGCTGCGTTCGCTGAAGTTCAGGTGGCCGTTCTTTTGGTGTTAAATCTTCCACGGCAAGGATTTTCAGCCACTTGTCCAATCGGCCACTGTTGTGTTTGCAGCCCGCTGTTATTTGCCTCAGAACTACTTTGCGATTCGCCAGGCAATTCGCCAACGCACAGTAAACGAGGATGAATAAAATGAGCCCTAGTCGGTGGCCGTGTTGAATGGAAACCGAAAGTGCACGATGACGTCATGCTAAATTGCGTCTTTAACATTTGCTTATGACTTCTTGCTAGGCAACTGCGGATACCAAACCGATAGAAAAATTTATGAACAAAGCAAAATCGCACTCCACTTGCGATCTCTGCGTGCGACAAAAATTTTACACTCGCTCTGCGAGGGTAACAAAACATTGCCGGGGACAAATTTGTAAGCATCAACTAGAACAGGAGTAAGTAGCCTAGAGGGGAGACAGAAGTTGAACGTTTTATTATTTATTTTATTTATTTTCATTGTTATCCAAATAACAACAACAACAAAAAAAGAACAATAGGTTTGACTAGTTTTCGTTTTAGGTCAGTAGAAAAGCATTAGTATAGAAGAAACGTTACCTTGAGCTGCACATCCATATATCTCGGTTCTAAGGCAGATACGGGAGTTCCATGTCAAAGGATAAATCCGTAAAAAGCGAGCATCGATAGACTCGGGAAGGACAATATTTTTGACTGATTTTGCATTTAGGTTCCCTGTCAAAATCTGAAATAATATAATCAAATATATAGTAGGAATTACGCACATTTTGCCGTGATAAAATCTGTTAAAACAACAACATCTTGCAAGACTTCGTGTCTTTTGGTCGCAGGTGTTCTATTTCAAATCTTCAATCGCTAAATAGCCTGTACACAGACGTTGCTTAATTTTTCCTTTCGTTCTTTAATAAAACATCGGCGAGCGCGCGAGAACGAACTTTGAAGAGGGTCTGTGAACAGGCTAACAGCTAAATGTTTTTGGTAGCAATCCTACGGATATAAGAACCCTTATAAATGAGCATCTATAAAACTCCAGGGTGCAATAATATACAAGTACCTTATACTTCACAGTGGCGTTCTGTCCATAGCTATTGAAGTCCAGACCATTGTTTCCGTATTTCAGATAAAATGTCTTTACAAATTCGGATGATTGCGGTCTGCCTTGAAGCGCAATGTGTGTAATCTGACGCACTACTCCCAGGTCAACCTGAAGATACTCCCCCTGATAAAGATCAACAATTTACAAGAGTACAGGAATGAGGAAAGTGATACTAAGATCAATGCAATAATTCTGATAATGATGACGATGTTGCATTGGTATTGAACAAATGAAATGAGCTACCCGACCACTCCAACACCTCCGCCCCGCCCCAAAAATGAACTATTTAGAAAAAAATGGACCTTCATTAATTTGGTCCCATGAGACCAGTTATTTCGATCGTAAGCTTAAACGAAAGCCGTTTATAGGGGTGTCAAAATACATGAACCGTGTTGCAAGCTAAATGCAAGCTTTGTAACAGACAAAACCCAACGTTTCACTACATAAAAGACTTAAACTTAAAAATCTTGTCACCTGTAAGATATAAACCATGGCCGATGAGAGCGCATGGCTTTCTGGGAAGTGTTTCCTACATGTATACATTTGTAATATGGTATAAACGAGCATAAGCTGTTATACTTTCGTCTTTTATTACGACTATGACGTTAATTGTAGCTGCGGTTTTCTTCAAGGCTCTGCAAAGATTTTTCTAAGAAAACGTATGTACTACAGAGGCGAAGGTATTGCCAGCAAAAACTGAAAGTCCTTTGGACCTTGTTGGAATTTATCCTTAAGAGGGGTTCATGCTAACGAAAGGCTATTCACAACATTTTGAACCTGCAATTCTAATACACTTATATCCATAAATCTATTAGGTGTCATCTTTTGAGGGATTTCTTTTCTTTTCTTTTTTTTTTTTTTTTTTTTTTTTTTTTTTTGGAATCGAGTATACACGTTTTCCTACCACAGTGTTCTTTGCAGCACACCATGCCCCAACGGTTGTGTTACTGCTCGCCAGACGAAGCCGTGCCTGGCTTGCTTGACAGGATGCGTTATAAACGCTGGAGGCGCTTATTTGATTATCATCGATGTTGCCATCTTCCATTCCAAATGGCGAATCACACTGCCCCATACCTATAAAGTGAAGCAAATGCGGGCGTTTAGATGACGCCCTCGGGAACTCCGACTATTTCTGCATGTATTTCTTTACCCGCACTCGTGATACGAATACATTGGTATATCAACCTCCTTTTTTTAAAAAATGCAAATTGCTGTGAATGGGTCATCATCGCTATCATCATCATCATCATCATCATCATCATCATCATCACCACCACCACCATCACATCACCGTCGTCGTGGTCGTCCTCCTCCTCCTCATTCTCGTCCTCCTCATCATCATTATCAACTACTTTTCATGAAAAGAATAAGGCACCCTGGCCTTTGTTAGCTTCTGTACGGTGCACAGCAAAACGCATTAAATAAGTGGTTTTACTTAGTGTCTTGCACTGAAGTGAACGACATCTTTCTTACCTCTCTTTCTCTTACATATGTAACCACGTCTAAAGAAACAAGAAGAAGTACTCCATGTTCCATTCTGAGTGTTGCCGTCAATGACTGTGCAATCAGAAAACTCAGCGCTCACGCCAGTGGAGGGCTCCCCTGCTTCCCAGTTTCTGTAGCTCAGTTGAGATCTATCGCTCCATTCGTATCTTCCTTCAACTTTTCGATCATTCAGTCCGAGCCATACTTGGGATACTTTAAGATCTTTGAGCTGCCGTAAAACGAAGGCCTGCTCGGCGACGCTGTTTATGCTAATCAGCTCGGTTGAGCGATTGTAAGACATACACGCTTTCTCCGCATCAACCCAGTTCTTGTACAGTGCACCGTGGACGTTGAACTGGTAACAGAAGTCACCAAGGCTTCTCCAATTTGTCGGACAGAGGTTACGACCTGCGGGTTACGAAAATTAAACAACGACTTTCATCACAGGCGGTCCAAGCTCAGTGTGTGAGTTTAGACGTTAACACATGTAGTTTCATATTGCGTAATTTAAAATGGCCGTGAATATAAAGGATTTGTATGAAAGGAAATCGCTTAAATCGCAATGGGTCGGAAAAATAACCACACAGCAAACAAAAACAAGCAAAGTAAATACGGTAAGCTGTATTTTATTGAACATTCTAGCAAGTATTAATCGATTTGAATCTTTTACCTGAATTCCCATACAAATCCTTTATATTCAAGGCCATTTTAAATTACCAATATCAAACTACTAGGGTTAACGATTAAACTCACACACTGACCTTGGGCCGCCTCTGCTTTCATTAGTATCAAAATAGACCGCGGATTTGAGCGAATTAAATCAATCTCTAAAGAGGCTATGTGACGAGGATATCAGGTTTGTTTTGCGCTCAAGTCATTACTTAGTGCCTTTGCTCTGATACACAAAATGATCCAGTGAAGTTATGAAAAAGATATCACAAATTTCATTAGAGAGCAACAACCATATTAATAATATTATTTTCTGGTGATTTTGCAGGCACAGTATATAAAAGTGATAAAGTTGGCCCCATTTTGTTTTCCTGTCCGTCCTGCATGTCAACAGGAGCGACGGACAACAGGAAAAAGTTTGAGTGCCTCAACATAGTTTCAAAAATAAATGTGAGGACAGCTTTTAGCTTTAAAAAAAAAAAAAAGACAGAAAACAGCATGACGATCCTTAAGTGCTGAAAAGGTTTTAGGTCGACGAAGTCTAATTCAGTCTCTCTTGTGTTCACATTTCTGAGTTAGTGACTGGTAAGTGACGACTGGTGCGGTCGCCCTCAAGAACCAAATAATCAGCTCAGTCCTTTAACAACCACTTTTTTCGATGACTATTTAAGTTTCGTCCATAAAAGCTTCAAGAATCTTAACAAGGACTCAATATTAAACTCCACACAACAATGATTCTCGCATCGTCATTGTAAACGCTCCACTTTAACGCCAAGCGGTCGCACGGTAGTTTCCCAGATTAGCAAAGCATTCGTGTCATGCCAAAAGTTTTAAAAGGCCACTTTTTGTTTGTCTGTTTGTTTTTCTATCAACAAATACAAAAATGCCTTTACCCTCTGGTTTCTCGCAGATGTAGTAATGCTCCGTATCGCAGTAATCATCGTTCCAGAAGCCTGCTGAACCACCTCCCCACACTGTTACACAGTCTTCCACTCCACCAAAATCATTGGGCTCCTCTGTTGCCCAGTGAGTATAATTCACCAGAGAGTTGTCACTTTCCCATCTGTACGTCCCCTCAACTGCTGCATCGGTTAGTCCGATCCATCCCCCATGCTGAAAATAAAAGAGAACGTGACTATCGAACCTCTTATAGACGTTAGCCCTTCTGATAGCTGTTTTCTTCCGGAGTGGTATTGGCAGTAAACCCTCGGCAGTTATTCCCTTTTTTTTAGTTGAAAGGGAGAAAGACTGAATACGATTGTTTGATCCGGTAAACTGGAGTGACTAACAGAATGAAGTGCTATCATATACCTTGATTAGAATGCAATTAGACAAGGCTGAACGGAGTAAAGCCGATCCGTCCTTTTGGGCAGCTCAATGATCTCAAAGTCAAATTCAACACATGTTTACACTGTTATGACAAAAGAAACCTAAAGTTCAAGAACCAATGGTCACATACGCAGACATATCCCGTAGATCACACTTTTGGAAATTATTTTTTTCTTAATTTAAATTCTAAAGAAGAAACTATGTACCTGCAGGGCTGAAAAGCTTTCACCCGAATCAGTGAAATGCAACAAGAATTGGTTATGCATATGTTCAGTTTAAACAGTCGATATAAAACGTAACTAATCTTATTATTCATTCAAAATATTAAACTGATTCTCATTGGCTAAACATCATCAAAACACGATTGATCATTCTTGTACTTTTTCATCAGTCGTTGAAAAAAACTGGCCGTTAACGTTGTCGAGAGGTTATTTTGCCTGTTGGGGTCACACTTTAGTGGCCGTTGCCGTTGAAAGAAGGTTTGAACAAGAGTCAATCTATGGACTGCCTGACGGGACAAAAAAAGCGGCAGTTGTGGAGAGGTGGCCGTTAGCGGAGGTTAGACTGTATCTACTTGACATGCAGTTAATAGTTAAGAATATATTGCACGCCTGCCACTCACTTTATTGCCTGAAATCAGTCTATAAGTTATAAAATGCTGTTCAGTGGCATCATCTATTTTCAGCAGGTAGCCCCCAGATGCTCGGCAGTCCGTCTTAGCATCAAGCCAGTTCTTCTTCATATCACTAAACTTGTAGCATGATGAACCATAAAACTCCCATCCAGCTGGACAGGCAATAGTTGCTAATGTAAAATAAAATAAAATAAAATAAAATACCTGAGTGGTTTAGCGTGCTGGCTAAATGTGGTACCAAATTTGATTGCAGTGTCAAAGAAATGCTTTTAATTAAGAACTTCACGCGTTCACTAAATGTGCAATCCGATTCCCTGCGGGCCAAAGTGTTTACTTAACAAGTATGTAAATTATTTCTTCTCATCTCTTGCATTTGCTCGATTGTAATATTATTACTCACATCTCACTTGATAATGGAGTCATGAGGACCACGAAACGTCGTGTTATAAATCTCCCATTTTCTTGTTAGTTGCCTGTTTTAACGAAACTCTGCTTATAAAATGAATAAACTAAATTAAACTAAACTAAAATATATCTTCGCTCGCTTAAGACGTATCACTTTCAAAATTGGCTATTTTAATAGCTGTAGTGTGCTCTCTTCCCAGTAGAGTCGATGGTTTTTCCCTAACTAGTCCATCTCAAAAGTTGAAAGAAAAAAAAAACGCGGAAGGATCTATCGCTTACAGATTTTAGACTTACCAAAGGTTGGAGGGGGTGCGACAGTTTTAAATGTAGGCATGGGTACCCCTATAAAGAAATAAACAAAATCATCATCATCATCATCATCATCATCGTCGTCGTCGTCGTCGTCGTCGTCATTGTCAACATCATCATCATCATCATCATCATCATCATCATCACTATGATAATGTCACAGTATCAAGAATGGTTTACACGCTCAAAAGAGATACTAAGTTACCAATCCCAGAACTGATTTTAAAGATTAACAAACCTTTGGGTCTTTCACAGATGTAGCTAAACTCTTTCTTGCAGCTATTGTCGTTCCATTTTCTGCCATACAACTCAACACAGTCCTCACCAGCCCTGTCATTTGGTTCATTTGGATACCAGTTGCTATACACTGAACGATTGTAAGGTGTCCCATCACTCCAAACAAACAAACTCTCATTCTGACGATCATTTAACCCAATCCAATATTTTTCGTTCGTGTGTTGAGATGATTTACTGTAAATGAAGTCCATCTCTGATTTATTTGCCACACTGACAAGATCTCCTCCATAATTGAGGCACTTCCTTCGAGCATCCTCCCAGCTGAGGCCCCGCACAGTCAGAGTTCTGACCTTAAACAAGTAGCAGGAGTTTCCAAAGCCATACCAGCCAGTTGGACAGCCTAGAAAATGAGGTGCAAAACAAATTCAGGAACTATCTAAAACTTTCTCTAGTCCCAATACGGCGTCTTCCCAGGCCTTCTCGGTCAATGAATTTCGGTGACTTATCTGAGACGAATGGCCGAGAGACGCCTAGACAATCTCGGGGTGTACATGCGTTAGTTTTTCCTTTTAACAAATCAATAGGGCGGCCCTTCATTTGTTCCACTTTGAAAGTTTTCCGTTTACTTACAATCGAAATGTGGAAGTGAAACGTGAAAGAATGAACCTTCCGTGGTCGATAAGGCCTCGGGGAACACTTTCAATCGCCTACCAAGAATTCCCTTCATAATTAAAAAACGGTTAGTCACAAAAGTATTAAATATGGCTCAAATTACAAAAAAAAAGGTTTGTATGATCTGTTCTAGCACCAGATGCCACCAGATTCTACCAAAAACCGAAAATCCCAACGCCCCTCTCCTGAAGTTAACGGTGGATACACTTGCTCTCGTTAATTTTAGCTTTCGTCATAGAAAGACCGAGCCGTATGCGAACTTGGAAGAGCACACCTTTGTTCTATTAGTATAAGGAAAAAGTGCTTCTCTTTGCCGCGCAGCATCGTAAGAATCCATTATTTTCTTGGTGAAAGGACCTCGGGAAAGTATAAAATAGTTAACCTTCGTTCTAGCTGGAGTTAAATTGGTGACGCTCTGGCACACAACAAATCAAGGGAATTTTACTAATAAACCTTTTTAGCTTGTACGTTTTGTTTTCCTAATTCAGACCACGTGATGTTCCCTAGGGAATTTCCATTTTGTCATTTCATTAATTATATTACATACATACGCACGTGGGTGCACGTGCATAAGACGACAGTTGAAAGAAACAGTTCTCTTAGGTACCAACACGTGGTCTGTAATGAGAAAACAAAACATACAAGCTAAAAGGTCTATTCGATGTACTCAATCAGTTGCTAAGAGGCGGGGTCAAAACAAAACTTTTGAGGCCTCAACAGCCTCTTTTCCGCGCAACTGGACCGCAAATAGGTCCGCCATATTTGCATTTGGAGTTCAGTCGTGCTGGATTCACCATGGTGGTGTGCTAAAGATTGATCTTTATAATTTCTTAAAATATTCTCAGTTTCATACGGTGGCCCACAACTGTCACGGCAAAACCAAAACCCTCACGGCAAAAACAAAATACCTCACGGCAAAACCAAAAACCTCAAGGCAAAAACAAAATACCTCACGACAAAACCAAACCTCACGGCAAAACCAAAGACCTCACGGCAAAACCAAATACTTCACAGCAAAAACCAAATACCTCACGGCAAAAGCAAAGCAAAGCTATTTTGGTTTTGCTGTGAAGTATTTGGTTTTGCCGAGAGGTTTTTGGTTTTGCCGTGAAGTATTTCGTTTTTGCCGTGAGGTTTTTGGTTTTGCCGTGAGGTATTTTGTTTTTGCCGTGAGGTTTTTGGTTTTGCCGTGATGTTTTTGTTTTTGTCGTGAGGTTTTTGGTTTTGCCGTGACAGTTGTGGGCCACCATAGTTTCATGCTTGCCCCTTGAAATCCTTAAATATTCTTGAATAAACCAGGGGGGAGGTGTCTCCAAGGAAATCTGTGGCACAGTCCGCCTGCCAATATGACGTCACGTCTCGCATCAGTGACTTTCAAAATGGCGAGCAAAGTGTTCATCGAAGACATACATAAAAATGTCGATTTAATCAAGGAAATACTGGTCCGATTTCTTGGATTTGGAGATTTTAAGGTTCCTATTGTCATTTTTGGAATGAAATGTCCAGTGTTGTAATGAATTTTAAAGATTGCTTTCTATCGTCGAGCAAATTTTACGGGCAATCATACCCCGGCATAGTAAATCGAACCCAATCGAACTAAATTTCAATCGAACTCAATCGAACTCAATCGAACTCAATCGGTGGATTGAGTTCGATTGAGTTCAGCAATCGAACGAAATCGAACTCACCGAAAAGAAAAAAAATCAATCGAACCCAATCGAACGTTCGATTTTCGAACTCGTGATTTATGTAAAACAGACGTTGAAAATCCATTACCAGATCTTAGAAGCTCGAGTTACTTCAGCCCTGAGTGTAGCGCACGTCTTTTTCGTAAGCGAAGAAATTCCGCAGAAATGGCTTCAGATGCGTTGTGGATCGTAAGCTTCAAATGTATAGTCAAAGGCTACCAGGAATGCCGCTTTGACGTCAAGGATGGCGAAGTTTTCAGGCTTTTAAAGAAAATAGGCGAGAAAGGCCGTGCCGTGTTTTCATAGTCATCCATCTACTTTATGCCGTAGCCTGTGTCGCGGTTAGTAATTTGCTTGTATTTTTGCATAAAAGTAATCCTTCGAGTTGTCTTGCCGCTATTGTAAGTTAGCTAAAAAAAGGAAAGGGTACGACAATTTCGAAATACGCCCGCGGGAATAATGATAGCTTTGTTTTGTTCTGTTCTGTTCTCTTAACTGCCGTGGACAGTTTATAAATGGGGTTTGTGTTATTGAATAAATAGTAAAAAAAGCGCAAGAAAAACTTGCTTTGACGGGCTTGCTTTGGGCTTGCTTTGTATAGGTTCACCAGAGCCAATCGAACGAAATCCATTTAATTGTGTTCGATTGAGTTCGGTTTCCGAACTCAATCGTAAACAATCAGACGGATTGAGTTCGATTGAGTTCGATTTGTTCGATTGAATTCGATTTCTTCGGAAATCGAACTCACTGAAAGTGTAGTGTTCGATTTCGTTCGATTGTCGAACTCAATCGAACTCAATCCACGGATTGAGTTCGATTGAGTTCGATTTTCGAACGTTCGATTTCCTATGCCGGGTCATACCGACCGGTCACACTTTTGAGGGCCAGTGCACAGCACGATTGAGGCGTTTAGACACAGCAATAGGAGGTTCATGAACGGATGTATTACACTTTACATTGTGCGTATTTTCAGCTCTTCAGAGCTAGTGGAACTCCATATCATTCCTCTCAAAGTTCGCTTAGCTGTAGCTTTGAAAGAGGAAGCTAAATGACAGGTATTTGTGAGACTGTGACCATTGAATCTTGTTGCTTTAACGGCGCATTTTAACACTGTATTGGGCATACACCTGTAATTCTGTAATTAAATCGCGAAAGCCAATAAAAGGTTTCGTTTAATTACTTTTGGGGGGCAAACCCACTGGAGATTTTAGGGTAATAATATTGACGATTAAGACGATGCACAAAAGGCAAGTTTAACTTTCGCGAGTGGGTCACTGGTGGATATTGTGTGTAAATTAGTACAGTTTGTGGTGTACTGTGTGTTATTTGTCTATGATGTCAACTAACATTGAAAAGAATTCAGCTGTTTCAGAGGAGGGACATGTCGTGACAGCTTATGGTTTTGATCTGGTCGTAAGCTTGGCCAGTATGCAGATCAAGAGTTTTTGAAACCCCTTTGCCAAAATAAAACTCCGGACTTAAGCTTAAAATATATATTGATCCAAGTGCATGACCACCAGGAAACACAGAAAACGATTGTTCCTATTAATGATGCTACCCTTTCTGCAGCACATGAAACCAAGAGACAATACAAGGCAAAGAAACAATATCACAACAGCTTTAAACAGTTCAATGCTTCTACAGACTGATGCTCCTACTAAATATTGAAATATTTCATATTACACATCACGTTGTTTAGAACATGTATCAAAATTCACATTACATTTGACCGAAGAACTTTACAACTTATCTCCAGCATGGGGGAGGGTAATAATTTGAAAAGAAAGCAGTCAGTTGGAAATAATAAAACAAGTTGGTAAAGAAAACAAGCAACAAAAAAGCGCAAGCCCGCTCTCATTTATTTCTTCTTATTGTTTATTATTATTATCATTTTTAATTGGCCAAACATAATGATAAAAATAAAACCTATTACGATTTCCGACAATTAGCGAACAGCTAATTTCTTACTCGCAGGCTAAGTCAACGGAAATACCGTAAGCGTTGCGGAACCCTGAAATTAGACTATTACGCAACAAGAAGTATTCAGATTTCTATTTCCGTGAGTGGCACAGACAGGTATACCCTTTGATCATACCACCATGCGCATGATCTGAGATAAAAAGAAGGTCACAGGTCACCATCACGGTCTGCTCCTAAACGAATCAAGTTTCGCCGACAAAAAAAAAATTGCCTACTGCTAGTATTTCACTGACTTTCAAATTTCAAATTTACTAAATATTAGTGGAAACAGTGGAATTGCACGTTCTTTTAGAAAAGAAACCTACTTATTTGTTTTTTCTCTTAGTCAAAGTTTGCTACTAAATTTAACCACCAGACGTGACCTATCCAGTGACCGTGGACTAACAAAGTGTTTCCGGCGATTGAATAAGTCAGTTGCCTTGCATTTTCTTTCGAAAGCCAGTAATTATCATCAGTAGAGTATAAAAAGGGGAAAGTGCTAGAGTATTACACTGAATTGCACGAAGTTATCATCAAGCCACAACCACACACGTTGTGCACAAAAGTTCGATGAAAGAAGCCCAATATATCTACAGATGTAGGAGAGTAAAAATTGGCTTTTTTGTTTTAATACGCTATTGTTACATGCCAGGTATATGGCCCGTTTTATTGAAGAAAGAATGACGGCATTTGAGAAATGAAACTACCCCGATAAAGATAGGAATAAATGGTGTACCTGATAGAGTAAGGATCTTCAGATTGCGTGCATACTGAATTGCAGCAATATAAATATATATATTATTTGCAGATAAACACTACAAGCTTACTGAACTCACACACTCTATTAATTGAGACCAATTCACAGTTCATTGTCTCTAAAGGTAGAATTTGGTTTTACAGTAGCACAGCTGCATTAGCATTGGTTCTTAAATCATCAACTGTATACAAAACAATTTCGTATTTGACGCAACAACCGTCCCACGCTGAACAAGAAACGAGCTAATTATTGCACGTGTATTGTTTATGTACCAAATTATGCTAAGTAAAGTGAAACTATTCAAGAGCCTTTGTATTTGATCAATTATTAAGCACTTCAACAAAACATCTTACCTGAAATGATGTGGAAAATTGCAGCGAGTGCCAAAGAAATCCGTAATGGCACCACCATTCTTGATCTCTCTGCTACCAACCGCAAAATATAGAAGGCACGTGATAAAAATGTAATTCGAGAAGCAATCTTCTCCTCGATGTCACGCAACTTTATTAGGGTAAGATATGTTGTAGTTCCTTTTTTTTAATCTTGGGTAATTTTTATTTGCCCTTTGTTTCAACTTCATTAGCAAACATTACCATACCCAAAACCAAAAGAAAAACAAAAATTACCTAGGATGTATTGTGCCGGCATGATTTTGGGCATAATGCTATAGTCAGAGCATGGAGCATAATACCTTTATAATCAAAATAATAAAATTAATATTGCCATAAATGTAATGAGATATTTTCACTTTCAAGAGCTTCCAGTTAGAAATACAATAGAACCCCGGGGTAGTGCCATGCTAAAAATTGGTCGTTACTGATCATGTTCTCAGCACGTAAGTGTATAGTGCAGTGCAAAATTATTTATTTCATTACTTTCTCGCTCGCAAATCAATCCCACTCCACAGATCTTTTTCAGCCTACCGACGTTGTGTGTCCGAGGATGGGGCACGATACCATTTATATACACTCCTGACGGTGCCATTTTCTCCTTTAGCCCGGAGGAAAGGCTGTCTCATAGATTGATATAGAACACTGATTCGACACTGATAATAACAGAGCGGAAATCGCGATAATTTGAGCAAGTGCTCTTAAAAATGGAAGTGCTCTGTCTTTCTTACTTTATTACTATTTTTAGGTCTTTTTAGGTTTAAGAGTAAGATGTAGCGTCCAGTAGGGTGAAAGACCTCACTGTGTCCCTTAGTTACGTTCGGGCGGCTGAATATGACTTAACGTTATTGCTCGAGTGGGGAGAATGAGGTACCCTATCACAGAACTTATCTCTCCGATTTTAAAAATACTGGGAAGTTAAAGAGAGTTTGATAAAAATCAGATCAATAAGCGTTTTAACGCGCGTAGCCAAAAATCAACCCTAAGTTTATCTCATTGAGATGGTAGGCCGAAAAAATAAAAACAAAAACAATGAAAATTGAGCGATCTTATTTTACCCACTGCATAAGCATACAAAAAGTCCACTTACGGTTAAAAATGTCTCGCTTAGGCTTTATGCGTCAGGTATACCCAAGGGTAGGGAACTCACTTGTATACAAAAGGATAGGAAAATCTGTCAATTGAGAGCCAGTCGTGAATTTTTGAATTTCTTCATATTTTGCCCACATAATCTCTATAGTACACTTATTTCAAAAATCACATTAAAACTTGTAACGGCTTTTTATTTTTTCCTGAATCGGGCAAAGTTTAAAAAACGCCAAATCGGTGCTCTTTCGAGTATGAAATTAGCGAAAATTAAGCATTTTCTTCGCGCTCGTACATAAAAACGGGATGATATCTCTAAATGAAATCAAGTCACAAGGAAAACACAGACTTGCACTTTATAATTCTGCAATTATCTTTAGATAAGCTGTTTAAATGTGACTGTGTTGGCCGCAAGAAGAAACACGATTTCGGCTCTTTTCAAAAATGGCAAATTTGACCTAACTTCACCATCGAAAAAAACAACTGATACATGGAATTTCAACATGAAACAAACACTATTTTAAAGCATATTCTTTGCCGTTTCTTGTGTTAAAAAATTTTTGGCGGCATTACAAAAGTGCGTCGCTGAGACACCGAAACGTGCACTGTAGTTTCGCACGTTGGAACGCTGAAAACAAGCTAGCCGCGAGTGTAGGCACACAAAAGTTTTTGCTAACTTAGCTTCTTTTACAAGGGGCACATTACGGGAAGCTCTAAAAATCTTTTGAAAAACTCTTTTCAATTTGATGGTTATAAAAAAGAACTAAGTAGATTAACACTGCATTTGATTGCACGCAAGTAGCTGAAAAAGACAACGCTGTTAAGTTCTCATGGAGTGTAAATATTAACTTTGAGTTTCTGTACCTAAAATAAAGCCGCTAGAAACGGCGTGCTAGCTCTAAATAGGATTCGAGATCTCTAAGAATTATTTACCACAGTCGTTTCAACCGCAAGTGGCCGCAGTTTATTGAGATCTTTAGCCTCAGACTAACCGCTGTGATGCGTGATGAAAGCCCGTGTGTAATTTGAGTCTGGTCACGCAACTGTACAGACAAGGATAAATCATCGCACGAGTGTACAATTAACACTGTTTTTTCAGTTTTATATTTTATATTCCCAAAACATGTGGAACTAAACTTGATTTTAGGATGTCACCAGCCGAAACTCATATAGAGAGAGAAAACAAATAGAGTAAGCCGAGTCTGCAAAACTTTTCACACTAGTTTTTTTATTTGCACTTAGCCTTCTGCGCCTTTGCTTGTAATAAACTAATCTTAGCCCCGCTTAGCGTATAGACTTCTTTATCGATCACCTCAGTATGAATTGAGGGATTTAGGTACACACGTACGCCATATGTAACATGAGGGTAGAGCAGGGAAATGGAAACGAGTAAAACTGTTTAAAGAAAATTGGCCAATGCTCCGCAAAAGAACATTCCTGAAAAACCACAAATCGAAAAAGGACAATGGACACATTTGATGGGGGAAATACAAGTATTTAACATGTTTAAATCACTGAAAGTAGTATTGCTTTGCTCCTCTGCAGCAAGGGCATCTTCTGGCGAGACCTCAACCTGCTGTTGACGAATTGTACTGATCCCTCGCCCATCGAACAGAGGCCCTTAAAGGCCAGTCTACACAGAAAGGGGTCAGAGACCAGAATGTTCGTACTGCTAGCTCCCGCCTGAAAAATGGTGTAGTCACCTGGCTCGATCCGCCACCATTCCCCCGGCACTTGTTCGCAAGCTAGAAAATAAACCAATTCACTGACAAGTTCTTTTTCATAACGTCAAAATCCGTCAGGAAAATGAAAAAAATGCTTTAAAGTGCCTCAGCCATTTTACTTACTATCTTTTAACCAAATACGTTGCGGAGAAAAGAGATAAAAGGCTGAAAACAGCCTTTCATTTCGATTTAAAATTTCAGATGGAGAATGCCCTTTTCCTAGGTCTGCACCTGCAGTGACTTGTGTGCTAAAACTCCTTCGTGGTGGTATCTCTCAGGCAAAAACGACCGCCTAGCGGCGAGGAGCAAGGAGAGAAGTCCGTGGCCATTTTCGAAAAGAAAAAGAGGTGTAAAGGCAGCACCTTCGTCGCTCAGAGAACGTCTGCGTCTATAAGTTTCTTCAGGCCGCACAGAGTCATCAATTAATGTGCCTTTACGGACCCCTTTTAAATGAGCAGCCAGCATGGCCAGTAGGCTGTTCTGAAACGGTACCACGCGCTTTGTTCTCCGCCACCCGGAACCAAACATTTAGCGGTGGTGTGGAAAAACTTTTGATTTTATGCGCCAATTTTGTGGACCAAACAAAGTCTGTTAGCTCTAAATGTAGTGATAAAGACATGAATTTTTGTATGTGTAGAGTTGATCCTAAAAGAGAACCCAATGCCAACCAACCCACCCATCTCCTCCTCCTTCTCTAAAGTAGACTTTTCATGACGTTAGCATAATCACCTGAGACCTCTTGTAAAGTTCAGTAAAATAATAGCAAGCACCTTCGTAGCCTGTTCACAGACCCTCTACTTTTTCATTAGAGATCGTCGATCTATTTTCTCTTTGGAGATCGTCGATTTTGCGTATGAAAATAAAAGCCGCGGGGGATTTATTGACCAGTAGAGAAGGGGCTCTCTCTCGCGCGCTCGCTTCGCTCGCGTGCTCGTCTATTTTCGAAACGAAAGATGAGTGTAAAAGCTGCACATTCGTCGCTCAGAAAACGTCTGCGTATATCAGTTTCAGTTCAGGCCATACGCAGTTATCAATCAATGAGCCTTTATGGACCCCTCTACCACGTGATTTGTTGCACCGCTACCCGGAACCAAACATTTAGAGGTGGTGAGGAAAAACTCTTATTTTCATGGGCCAATTTTGTGGACCAAACAAAGATCACCTAACGTAAATGCAGAAAACCTTACTTTTATCATTGGCATGGTAGGGTCGATGTTTGGTTATTGCCCTACATACTCACGTGACTAACAAGTCAGGAGCATAACAAGTGACGCACGACATCTTTTCTATGACCGCAATACGTTCAGCATTACTGGGGCCACAGGCGCCACAAGTCAAGTCTGAATATGTGCGAGATGCTATACGAACATACAACAAAGACTTGCACCGTAAAACACTTATACCAGGAATTTCTTTTTCGGCGCGTTACGCGTCACGCACTTCCAGAATGTCATCTTCCCTCGTGTTGACAGATTGAAAACATATACAAACTTAAAAACTTCGATTCTGCCGTGATGCAGAATTTAGTTAGCGGTACTGTGACCCCGTCTAGCATTTAAATTTAGGTAAGTAAATAACTTTTCTGATATTAAGGTTTCAATACGATTAAAACTATAGCAAGCGAGTATTTCGACAATATTCCCCTCTACTAACTGTGATTTGAACTGCGTATTCGTCTCTTCATTATGGTTTATCGCAAAAATCAGTTGAAAGGAATCATGTTAAACCGAACAGAAACGCCGAAATATAATCTGAAACCGTTACAACTCTGACTAGGGTTTAAATGTCGAAGTAACTTAGGTTTGTGAAGGATTAATAGTCCAAGCGTTGAAACTTGCTTGTTGCACGCGCTTTCCTGGTGTCAAAATACCCTTCAGGTTTTGGTCTCTCGACGGTGTGCATTTAGAATGCCGCCAGAAATATTTCAACACAAATAACAGCAAAGGATATGCTTCAATACAGTTCTTGTTTCATATTGAAATTCCATGTACCAACTGGGTTTTTACGATGGTGAAGTTGGGTCATATTTG